AGGAATATTCTGATATGCATGGCAGAAGGTGGAAGTGGAAACTAAACGAACATCACTCAAGTTTCTTTTGATACACTATTAAATGAATCTGATTTAAGATTGATCCAAGAGCCTATGCCAGTTAAAGGGATGGGGAACCAAATATTTCAAGTAGGCCCAGTTTTATTTACCGAGTCCTAGCACTTTAAACCAAACCATTTTACTATGGTCGGTTATAATAAAATGGGACCAATCTTTGAGGAGATTGAAGCAAATAAATCAGTCCTTGGTAACTCCAAATGCAGCTCTGGAGAATTGGCAACTCGAAACTGCAGAAGATTCTCAATTTCCGGAACCAAAAGAGATGGCGACCCACGAAGGAGACAATTATGAAGATGCTAGGACTATCATTGAAGGCGCGGGGAGTGCAAACTGATAAAGGGGCAAATGAGACATGCAAATGATTGAATATAGAGGTAGACATTGGTTTGTTGAGGAAGCAGACCACTGAATATACAGATGCAGGAGGAGATACAAGGTGAAATGGACCCATTCTTATGGGTTCACCAGAATGTGATCAAATTGAGCAAGTAGTTTGGGGTTGATTTTCATGGATGTGAAAAGGATGCTCTGGCATTTTTTATGAAAATTGATAGCAGAAGGAAGGCAAATTAACACGAGTTAGAATCACTAATCATGACTACTACTAAAATCAAAGGCCTACAAGAATTCAAAGGTTTGGTCTTTGATATGAAGTTAAAAGGCAGTAGGGCAAGGAACAATGGGAAAGAAGTTCCATACGGGGAATAATGAATGTCAAAATCATTTCCTGAAATATGAGGGGGTTGAATCCTAGAGCAAAGAGGAGGGTGTTATATGGTCGGTTACAAAAAACTCAGGATTTTAACTAGCATATGACAAGGGTTATACCCCAAATTGCGACAGTGAAAGACAGGAAGTTTGGTGGAAGATTGGGTCTGTAAGGGGCTTATTCGCAGGACCCTGCATGGAGGTTGTGACTTCAACTTAGTCAGATCTCCTCTCAGTAGAAGTAGAAGCACCATGCCAATGGCGTAATTCTCTGATTTTATTGAAGATATGGAGCTGATTGACCTTCAGCTGGTAGGGAGAAATTACACATGGACCAGGGAGAAATTGCACATGGACTAGAGGGAATAGGCATGTGACATCATGTGGTTTTGATCCCTATAAAGAATGGAGCTAAGGAGTTGAGGCAGGTTAGACAATCAGCTTAATAAGGAGTATCTACTAGCTGATTTCTAAAATGCTCACGGAAAGACTCAAAAAGGTGATTCACAAACTTGTAGACTGACAACAATTGTCATTTATAAAAAGGATGGCAAATTGTAGATGTTGTACTAATTACTAATGCATGTATAAACTCCGGACTGTAGGAGAAAAACCAGGCATTATGTGCAAGCTATCATTAATAAAACATGACTATATTCTGCTTAAAATTCTGTATAAGATGGGGCTTGGGAGAATATGGATCATCTGAATGAAGTTTTGCGTAGGTACTATCAGATTATGGATCCTCTGAAGGTTGCTTCCTTCTCAAGGAGGACTATGACCCCTTGTCACCTTTTTAAATTTCTTCTAGCTAAGGAAGAATCCAAGTTCCAACAACATGTTGAAAACTGAACACAGGAATGGCTGGATTAGGGGTTTCAATGTGGCAAACAATCAAGCAAAAAGGTGTATATAACTCACCTTCAGTATGCATATGATATCTTGATTTTCTATGATGCAGAGGAGATCCAACTGAAATATCTGAGGGTCATCCTTGTTTTTTTAAAGCTATTTCATGGTTTCATATGAAACATATTAACAGGAGGAAAAGTCAGATTTCCCCGTTAATAAGGTGCCCAGAATGCAAGGTATAAAGAAGGGTGACGATACACTCCGATGGAAAGAAGTATAAGAGTGGATTTACAGTCATTTCTGCATATAAAGATCTGAACCAGGAGGAATCCCGACTCAGTTTCCGGCCTTGAAAACATTTGTGGAAAGTGAAGATATGCATAAAGGGGTTTGCTTCACTGGGTTGGTAATTAAGAGGTTATCCTTACTCAAGATAACTTAAGGAAGAGGGGAATTCAACTTTGTTCAAGATGCTATTTATGTGAACAGAATGTGGATACAATCAACCAACTGTCTCTACATTATAAAGTTACCAGCCAACTATGAGATCTATTCATCAACCTCAAAGGTATCAGGTGGACAATGCTTGAGAGAAATTTTGAAGTCATGACAAGTTAGGACTCGGTGGTTGGGGAGTGGGAGGTGGGGGGATGTATCACTAACAAAGTTGGATTAAAAATTGTCCTAGCAACTAAGGTATTTTCAAGATACACGCAGTCCTCTGTAAAAATCAAGACAAATTGTATTCTTCTTTTTAGATTTTGTAAATTATCGATGATCCAGATTCAATTCTAGAAATTTCAGATTCCTTGTAAGAGAAGCAAGGATGGTAGTTATTTTTGGGTCCTTAGATGTAACTCTCATATATTGGTTTCCAGAACAATCTTTGATGATTTATATACTGATCTTGTCATATTCTCCAAAAAGAAAAAATATTACTATGCTTCTCGGGTCTTCCAAGAATCATTTTGGGCATATTGGCTCTTGGATCCTACACTGATACCTTTGTCTGCCTGCAAAGATTCTTGAAAACTGAGGCATTCCCGTCTCTTTGTCCCCTTATGCTTGACTTTGCACCTAAGCCCTGGAAAACCTAGTGTGTGTAGTACCTGTTCAGTTTTCTAGCTTCTATCTATTCTTTGATGATTTATGTAGAGACTACCTAGTTGAAGCTCTGAATCAACCTTGGGTAGTCATCATCAGTATGAGAATGTGAAACAATGAAATGAGCTTCACATGTTTTGCCTGTATTTCCTTGTTTCCAAAGCTTAATCCCTACTGAGTAATTCCTAGATCAAGTTCTGTAGCTGTGATATATTAAATCTATATGTTTTTTTTTAAAAAAAAATAAAAATATTCAAATCTATACGTTTGTGGTGATTCTTATCAGATGTTGGATGGCTCACATACACTCTTATCCCGTGAAGAGCTCGAGAAAAAATTTGGTCAAGAAGGTTAGAACTAGTCTCATTTTCTGAGCTAGAGTTTGGGCATGTTACATTTCTGTGGTTTTGCTTTCTTGCTACCCCTAGCTTTGTTGAATGTTAGATCTCATAAAAACAGTGAGCCATAGTTAAAAACGGCGTGTTGTATGTGGCACGTTTAGACCTGAAGCTACCATGGGGCTCAGGTTGGGAACTTAAGTGCAAGATCGTCATTGCAAAAAATCCACGTCATTGCCTATAGGCAATTAGAGACCCCCTTTAAGAGGACAACACTAGGCAATAAATATAGTCAGCAAAGTGGAGACTTAATTATTAACAAAATGTTTTCTGTAGTGATTTGGGTCCCCCCCCCCCCCCCCCCCCCCCCACCCT